AACTGCGAACTCGGCAAATTTGGTTGCACAACTTCCCTTTATCATATACACCCAGCGACACCGATGCCAGCTGACTGTGTACAAAACTGGTAGGAGGTAATACATTTGGGGTGAAAGTATTCAAAAATCAGTTTTTGGATGTTGCAATGGCAGTGGTGGGCCAGGATTTTTTTCCAATTAGTGACGGCACGACCTACCTGTGAAGTATGAACAAAACCAGCCGAGCCGTTGCTGGTGAAAAGTTACCCCAACTTTGGGGTCAAATTTCTCGGTAATGAAAACAGATATCAAAAATTCAAATGGTAACTTTGTGCCCACACTCAAGCTGAGTAGAATGAGCTATGTTTGAAGTGTTTTATCCCAAATTTGTAGGAGGAGATACATTTGGCGCGAAGCTATCCAAAAATCAGTTTTTTGGCTGTTGCTATGGCAACGGTGGGCCAAACAAATTTTCCAGATTTTTCCTTATAACTAGGGTTAAGGTGTGACCTACCTGCCAAGTTTGAACGAAATCGGCCAAGCCAAAAAAATCACAGAAGAAATAATACGTGAACACTGGAACACTGGAAATGTACACACACAGACACACACACACACACACACACAAAACGACAAAAGTGATTATAAGGGCAATCCTAGCGGAGCGGATCGCCAATAGAGCCAAAATGAGAATAGCTCCATGTTTCAACAAGTTTATATATGTATGTATATTAATATTATGACATTTTACATGGCCCAGAAACTATTACTAGTGGCCGTCATATTTACACCTCCTGTGAGAATTGCTGGTGTGAATGCAAAATTATGAGGTCCTTATCTTTTTATTTACCACACGCAACTTGCGTTGACGTAACTTTTTCTTCACAATACCAACTACCAAAATCTTTATAATTAAAAAAGGAAAAACAATCTGAACACCTTTTCATTTGGACTACAGTTTATTAATTAGGCCCCTCCATTTATTGGACCACCTGATTTTATACATATTTTAATTTCATCACTTTTTCTTGTAATGATAGTATAATATGGCTTGGTGGTCCTTTTTACTATATATACGTCTTAAGTAGACAACTTCAGGTTATATCATTACATAATCTCTCTTGTATTTCATCCACAGTAATTTCAGCATCTTCAGACACAACAGTAAAAGTATGGAATGCACACAAAGGATTCTGCATGTCAACGCTACGAACACACAAGGTAGTATGAGTTTTTATCATATACATGTATACATGTAGTAGAGATTGTTTGCCTTGACCAGCACTCAAAACCAGACAATTGTCATATTATCGTTAAGCATCCTCTCAGTCTTGGATTAGAATTTGTAAACTCTGAACCTCTGATTTCAACATTTGTTTTACCTCTTTCAAAAACATGTAGTTTTCAACTGAAATCCATTTCAGCAGCACATTGTGTCATTTCTGCAATGCAATCTTATCACTACCATTCAGAAAATTTTGGGTTTTGTTGACATTATACCTTGGGGCATTCTGATTGGTTAATGATGACATTCTTGACTTATCAGGTCAAAGGACATATGTCGGTCACAAACATTATGACGAATCTGTGTTTTTTGCCAAAGCGATTAAGTGATTGTTTGCAAGTGATATTTGTTCATTAAATGAAAAAATTTTGGAACCTAGTAACTGTAATACAAACAATAAACAATTTGCCTAATAATTATGTGGTTGATTTTTTGTAGGAGATACTGAAAAGAACCAGAACCAATGAAACCACTAGTTTTTATTTTCAGTGATATTATTTAACATAGTTGATATTTTCTAGGATTTTGATTCTTGAGTATGTTTCTACCATACCATTACAAAAGTCACATGTAGATGATATTTACATGTAATTCTGTTAATAGGTCTTTAGCTTTAAGTTAAGAGGGCACCTAGTTTCCACACTAATTTGATAAAATTGTCATAGTACGTGGGTATATATTCAGCAAGATCTGTATTTTCCTACACCAAGACAATCGTCGTAATCTATTTTGATGCCAATTTACCCGTAAAATTCAAACCTTGTTTTAATAAATGAATTTACTGGTATGTTCTGTAAAAATTTACCTATATAGAGTTCAATCTAATTTTGTTGCATTTTTAGGATTATGTGAAAGCATTGGCATATGCAAAGGACCGCGAGCATGTGGCATCAGCGGGGTTAGATAAACAGATATTTCTATGGGATGTGAATACATTGACTGCCCTTACAGCATCTAATAATACAGTTACAAGTAAGTGAATTACAGTTCATGCTGTGTACTAATTTTATATTCATTCCTATGATTCCTACATATGGTTCTGTCCTTTTTTTCTGTCAGTTTTTATTGTTTTTATACCCACATGTCCTAAGTATGTATTATTTATTAGTTATTTGAATATGAAATGATAATACCATCTTGACAAACAATGCCAAAATTAGACCTATTCCTGTCTAAATAAAATGACTGTATTGATGTAGTCTGTGTAACCTTAATTTATCTGCCTGAAGCACATCAGTGAAAGAATTGATATACATTTTTCCTGATTATTTTGTTGTTGATTATTTTTTTTTTTTTATAGCTTCATCACTTAGTGGACAAAAAGATAGTATATACAGTCTAGCAATGAATTCAGTCGGTAATGTTATTGTGTCGGGTTCTACAGAAAAGGTAAACAATATAATTGCAATAAGTAACCTTAATATCAAGTTATTATGACTAGTGCAACTATGTAATTAAAAAGTATTTGTGGATGTATAAATATTTTCACGACCTTTGTGTTTCTAAATTTTCATTTCAGCTTCATTACTTTGATAACAGGATATGTATATTTAATAATCAGAAGTAGCTGACTGTATCTGTTTAAAAAATTATGTACCTTGCATTGAACAAAGTATCCATATCCAAATTTGAAATTTATAATAATGCATTTTATGTTCTTATGTGAATTGGGTCTACTGTAAATGATTGCTTTCTCATTTAAACTTCTAAAAGTACCCAGCCAGCTATCCCAGCTGCCTCCGTCAGTTTTCTCCACTTCGCTACCAAACAATAGACTCAAAAACATTTGCTATATGCATCGTTTGTGCTTTGAAACTTGACTTAGCTTATTGATTGGTCACATTTTTAATGAGTAAATTATTTATTCATGTCATTCATATGCCCTAAAGTAAACAAAATCTCAATCATCAGCAATTGAGTCTCACAAATCTTTTCCACATAAAGTCAAATCTTGTTGGGGTTTATCATATGCACACAAGTCACATAAATATATACGACAGTAGTCATTGGGAGATATTCTGACAATCTTTCTTGGAGTTCCTTCCAACAAGCGAATACATTTGTTAGGAGTCTCCATTTCTGATTGTGCATTTCTATGCAATATTTTATCTGTTTCAACTTTGATGCACACACTAAATTTATTCAAACTATTGATGAGAAAACATCCCATTGCTGATAAAGGTGCCAGTGAATGACATTTTAAAAAATGAAAAGTGTTTTGTCTATTTAACGTATAATCTCAACGCAGCTACATTAATTGTACATTGATTTACTGTGACTTTGAAGATGCAACATCAAGAACGAACAAAAATACAAAACAGCAAATGCCTACATGATTTCAGTATTTGAATAACCTGCCAGTTGACAAATATGGGCATGTAATTTATTAATTATTCAAGCGGTGACCTTCGATATTCATGTCTTACATGATTAGCTAAGGGCTAAAAGCTAAAGGTCGAGATATGCAAATTTATAGTGGATGGAACAGAAATTATATTAGCAAATGTTCTGGGGTCTATTTTTCAGTAGCGAAGCGGAGAAAACAGAAGGTGGCAGCAGGGATACCAACAAGCTAAATAATATATTCCTGCATCAACTGTATTGTAAGCTAGCTGCAGTAGATTAAATAGTAGTGTGCAGCTGACATCACTTGGATTGGAATGATTTATATTATATGGTATCTGAAAAACAATAAAACAACATGGTTGATTTCAACTCAGCATAATGACATCATTCACCTAAGCCTATAACAGTGTTTCTTTTTTTCTGACTAGATACTTCGTGTGTGGGATCCACGTACTTGTGCAAAATTAATGAAACTAAAAGGCCATACTGATAATGTTAAAGCTTTATTATTGAATAGAGAAGGTACACAAGTAAGTATCAAAGACCAGAAATGAAGGGCATATTTCTTCAACTAATTGACTGCCATCTGAGGGCATATTTCTTCTACTATTGCCTGCCATTTGTGGGCATATTTTCTGTACTGATTGTCTGCCATTTGAGGGCATTATTTTTAGTACTATGGACTACCATTTGATGACATATTTATGGTACTATTTACTGCCATTTGAGGGCATAATTAGTGCGTTCGAACGGTGGCCATTTTTGTGCTAACAAATCAAGCAATTATTGATGGATTTTGTTTAAACTTTGCATTTGTTGGACATTATGGGCATTATTTTTAGTACTATTGACTGCCATTTGAGGGCATATTTATGGTACTATTGACTGCCATTTGAGGGCATATTTATGGTACTATTTACTGCCATTTGAGGGCATATTTATGGTACTATTGACTGCCATTTGAGGGCATATTTATGGTACTATTGACTGCCATTCGAAGGCATATTTCTTCTACTATTGACTGCTATTTGAGGGCATATTTCTTATCTTATTGACTGCTATTTGAGGGCATATTTCTTATCTTATTGACTGCTATTTGAGGGCTTATTTCTTATCTTATTGACTGCTATTTGAGGGCTTATTTCTTATACTGATTGTCAATTAGTACACTTAGTTACATTGATTACCATAATTCTTTCATTAATTTGGACCATGCAGTGCCTGAATTGTGAAAAGAAAAACTAAATTTAACTTGTTGAATTATGATAGTGGAGTTTAGTCAGAGGTAAAAACAATTCAAACTTGGAAAGTGTGAACAAAACACAAAAAGACTGAAAAATGTAATAAGAGGATATGTCAAAAGATGGGAGTATGAAAAAGTATTGTTTTAACCAAATTTATGTGGTCCAAGTAATACAGAGGGGTCCAACTGCACGTAATAAAGGGATTATGAAAACATCAAATGTCCCTTGTTATATTAGCACTCCGTGGATAGAACATAGCGAGATGCATATGTTGTGTTCGGGTAAAAGTCATTCACTGATGCTGTTTCCATTGTAATACTGTAAACTGATAAATTAAAGCTACGTGAACTTGCAAATTCACAATGAAAGTCATTGTTTCTATGCCAAATTTATGAACTTTAAAATGCAGTAAATGCTCAAATCACAAAATAGTGAAGATGAATGTCAGTGAAAATAAATGGTTTTACAGTATATTGTATATTATTTGTTGACAGTGTCTATCTGGTAGTTCAGATGGAACAATTCGATTATGGTCAATAGGTCAGCAGCGATGTATGTCAACGTATCGTATCCATGACGAAGGTGTATGGGCTCTACAAGCTAACGACACATTTACAACATTCTGGTCAGGTGGTCGTGACCGAAAAATTTTTCAGACAGATATGAGAATAGCCGATAGCAGTGTTTTAGTATGCGAGGAGAGTGCGCCAATTTTACGCATGTGTTTATGTGATGACCCTTTATCACTGTGGGTCGCTACAACTAAATCGAATATTAATAAATGGGTAAGTAACGCTCAAAATGTATCTAATGTTCATTAAACTGAACTGACAGAAACAGTTATTTAGTCACAAGTAAATAGACCATTTTCCGTACACTGCGAGAATCATGCGTTATGCGTGAAATCGAACGTAAAAACAGGACAAACAAAGGTCATAGCGTCGTAGTCGCGTCAAACATCGCGTGGGATTCGACAAACGCAAAAGTATTTTGGGGACATTTCCATGCTTAATAATGTGCTGTCCACATTTGATGATAGGCAATTTCGATTAAGTGAGGGTATTCGGAAGCAATATTCCTCTGTCGAAGATCGGCTGGTCGGTGTGAGCTACGAAATAAGGAAATTCGAGTTCAAAATCAAATCGTTCGATTTTTGCGGCAGACGTTCAGCGCGCGTCTTTCATGCATCTCGCGAGATCTCGCAATTGTACGGAAAATCACCTATTGTAGTAGTGGACTAAAAGTGTGTTGTACTGACTGCTGTCAAAAAATGGAAATAGTTTGGTCAGTCACAAAAATGCCCAAGAAATGAGACTATGTTGGCCTAGCTATACAAATTATAACCCAATAACTTCTACTTTTACTGTGAAATTAAAGACAAAGCACATCTTCTTCGGCTATTAACAGGTCATAATTTAGATTCTTTTTAGCTATTTCCATGGTTGCTACAATGGTGTTTCAACCCATTCTAAATTGAATAATTTTTTCACTAAACGTGCCAAAACCCTTTTTTTTGTATCTGTCTCTTTATGTATGTATGGGGGTCTAAAAACTAACTCTGCGACGCGATTGTGCGACTCGCCGAATGTCGATTATTGCACTCTACGACAGCATCGCAGTGTCACTCTGCGAAGAGCACGATTCCCATTGGTTGGTTGGTCGAACAGCGCGAATCCCAATGGTCGATTTTCATCGCATGCCTTATAAAAAGTTAAGTTAAATGGTAAAAATGGTACGGTAAAAAAAGTGTGTAAACACTATGTACCGGCCACATGCCGCACTGTTCGATGATCGGCAAGCACATGGAAGACAAATTGTGGGACCAAACAAATGACACATGGTTTACGGTGATTAGACACATCACATCGCTGGCTAGAAAAGTTTAATAGTGTAACGTGCACGTTGGTTTTGACTGCCTATTTACGGTGTAACGTTATCGCCATCTTGGAGTTGTAAGGCTTCGTCCCGACGACTATGCTCATTAGCATAGGCGGCAGCTTCAAAGCGAGTGGAACGCGAAGTACTTTTCACGCGTTCTGCAACGAATGTTGTATGTCTGCTTTGACTTTGTTGAGTGCATCAAGAAAAATAATGTGCATGCAGTGAAAAAAAATCATTCACGATGTGCAACGTTTTGCCATGACAGCAATTGTTTGCAATCGTCTGCCTTCGTTTAGATCATAAACGGACTCCAAACTTGTGGTCTACTATCGATCAGCTTGTATTTTAACCACCAGAGATGAAATACTTTGTAACAGTTGTGAAAAGTAAACAAAAACGTTGGTTTGTGGTATGAATGTAATTATTTTTGTATCATCATTTTCGAAGTCAGTATTACTGAAAATTATGGTTTATTTTTTTAAATGAAAGCCAAATTTCGGTGGTCCATATTGATCTTAAGGTAGCGGGAAGGGAAATTTTCTTTTTTTTTCTTGACTTTTCAATAATTGATAAAACGGTCACTTTGTACCTTGATTCATCATTCAAGCTTTTTGAAATTTCGAAAGGACCAGTGCTCAAACGCTAACACTACTACCGTTTCGTTAATATTTTCATAATGTTTATAACATGTATGTGTATACTACCGGTAATACTCTGTTATTGACGATTCTGATAGAACGGGTGACAAGCTTCCTGTCGCAAACAATGCATATTAATCTAACGTCCATTGTCAGCATTATTATCAGTCAAGACTTCGTCTGAGAAATCGTATTATTTTCTAAGTCTATATTCTGTTTTAATATCACCATCTTACTAACGCAATGGCGATGAAAAGAAAGAAAGCAATGACGCCACTGACAGACGAGGCAAAGAAATATCTGCAACTCAGGGTCATGTTTACTAATTTAGACTTGCCCGCAGCCTGCTGTGACTCTGATGAAAAATTACAGGACTTTAGCATTCACCCCTCGTTTACGCAATTTATATTGATTTTTCATAAATTTTTCATCCGAATCGCAACAGATTGCAAGCACGTCTAGGTCATATTATGACCAACCTCGCGAGTGGTTCGAAAGGGACGATCAGGCTGAAATATTTGCATCAACGCGAAAGAGTTTCAACTTCTTAACCGATGACGCTGCCGATACGTGAGACCTTTGAGGGCCGGTAATCAGACGAGGAAGTGAGTGCAGGAAATCTGTTGCTCGTCGACATCGGCCAAATAAACAAAGCAATCGTTTCCATTTATGCAGAGAGCGTGCACCCATCTAATTTTCCGTTGACACTGCCTTTTTAGATTTCTATCTTCAGCAGTAGTTTTAATCAGTGTTCTCCACAAATAAAATTTAAAGAGGGGCGCTAATTGTCATATAATTAGCATATTTAATTTGCATATAATTAGCATACTAATCAAACATTTCAAAGGAAATTCTTAGCACTTTTATATTTACATCAATTAAATACTGTGTACAAGTACTATATTAATGTTCTTGAATTATTTTGATGAATAAGTTAAACCACTTGATGTGTAAAAGATATCAACTTTGACAACTGAAGAATATCAATTTTATTCTTTGTAAAACTGTAATGGAACAAGTTGTGAAATTCTAGCCTTTCATTTATTTATTTTAAATTTCTTTCAAATATTTCCATTTTTATAGGTTTTATAAATGCACTGAGATATTGTAATAGTTGAAAACCCCAAGTAATAAGAAGAAAAATATTTTCACATAACAAAATTACCATTTAAAAGAAAAAGAATCCGATGACTGTAAATAAATTAATCATTATGTTGATTGCATTGTGGGTACTGAGGACAAAGGTCAAATCAGATACCGTGACATCCATGTTGTTTCAGTGTTTACCGTACGTTTTGTTTTGGTGATTTATTTGATGATTCTTTTTACTTTTCGCCAATAAAAGGCATGAGAAAACTTGTTTTGACTATCCCATTGCATGATTAACACAATGCTTGTGACAATCACTTCACGCATCCATTCATTGTTTTTAGTTTATTTATTCAGCCAGTTTTTCCCCAGACATCAAATCCATTGTCCTAGTTGTCACCTATGCCACTATCTGTCTCTTAGTTCTTTGTTTTATCGCCTGTCAATTAATAAGAGGTCTCTCAATAACGTCGTCGTGACTTCTTCCGGGAATGTGAAACCACTGTCACCGAAAACAAAGGAGGGTGCTGAAGATAAAAAGAAGGGCGCTACAAATTGAAGAGGGGCGCAAATAAATTAAAGAGGGGTGCTTCGCCCCCTTAAACCCCTCGTGGATACTCAACTAACAATACAATGTATTTGATCGGGGCGGGAAATGTGAATGCAGGGCGCTTGTTGACCATGCAGGGCGCACGACTACCTATGCAGGGCGCACGACTTCCTATGCAGGGCGCTGCGCCCTGCTAAAACCCCTCGTGGAGAACACTGAGTTTTAATCCATTCACACAGCTTTACGTTTTTTTCTCTCTTAATATTCTTAATAAAACGATATTGATTGCCTAGAAACAGTTTGACCTGCTACACGCTTTATTTGGGAGTTCAAAGTGATGAATATAGTCACAACAAATTATACTTGCTAATGACAAAAAAGAATGTACTTCGCGCTCTACTCGCTTTAAAGCTGCCGCCTATGCTAATGAGCATTATTGCGGACGAAGCCTTACAACTTCAAGATGGCGTTAATGTTACCAGCTCCCTGATGTTACACTGTAATAAGGCAGCCAACACCAACGTGCATGTGTTTTGTAACCCCTTTCACCCCTCCGGGGGATGTTATATATGTTAATAAATCAATGTTAAATACTTGCTGATTACCGAACTGTGCGGCATGTCGGCCGTAAATACTTGTTTACCGTAGTTCGCGAGCAGTCTGCGAAATAACCATTTAAAACTGAACAGTTCTATAAGGCATGCGGTGTACCCTTATATCGATCATGGAGGTAAATCGATCGACCATTGAGATTCACGCTTTTCGACCAACCAACCAATGGGAATCGTGCTCTTCGCAGAGTAACACTGCGATCCTGTCGCAGAGTGCAATAATCGACATTCGGCAAGTCGCACAATCGCGACCCCCATACATACCTCGTCTCTTTGATATTTATCTAAATAGAAATACTGTATGTATAATTAAGTTTCTGTAATGTTGGGTGAATTTTATCTACTCTATATTTTCTTATTTTAGTATTTAAAAAATAGAAGTTCAAGGTCTTCAGGAGATTATGATAATAACAGAACTGAACCTATGAACACACAACCAGATCTTACAATAAAAGGTAAGTCATGCATCTACAAGGTGAGAAATGTATTCATTCTATCCAAATAAATTGTACTCTGTGTGTAGTGGCTGGGTGGAAGTGAAAACAACAGTGAGCAATTTGAATCATGACACTTTTTGAATGCAAGTCCTGATTCTTGGGAAAGGCAAGTCTGGACTGCTGGGGAAGGCAATTCCTGACTAGGGCAGGGGACTTGACAGTCTTGACAATTATTGATCTATTGGCACAACTGAGGAAGGCAGGTTTTGGATAATTGGATGATTATAAGTTGGAATAAAGTCCTAGAACTGCCATGTTTATGAATTAAGAATCATAAAGTATAACCATATGTGTTGATAAACATTGATTTTCCCATAATCCAGTGTGCTTTTCTAATGGAAATCACAAGCATGTGTTTTGACCTTGGCACGACATGCACTAATTACTGCCAGTGATTCCTTTGATATCTTCTATTTGCCTTAAAAATTACCTAATTAAAGCTTGGTTATGTCTGCGCAACAGTCCAAGTTACATCTTTGTTTATATGAGACTCATATCTCGTGGATGCGCAGTTCAGCGCAACGACCGACACCCTTTAAATTTGGTTTTTTTTGGGGGGGATATGAATTTTTTTTGCAAATAGAGGTCCTGTGATATTGTAATAAATTTACCTGAAACACTTGGAAATCTACATAATTTATGAATATTTGAATAATTCACCAATGTTCACAAAGACCCAGATATTACAAATCTGATTGTTCACTCTGTAGGAGGGGCCAGTATTGTACAGTACCATGTTTTAAATGATAAAAGACATATATTAACTAAAGATACTGATGATGTTGTTGCATTATGGGATGTATTGAAGGTAAGTCATTGTACACGCAAAGGAAATACGTCATCATACATTGTGCTGCTTAAAAAAAGAATGATTTTCAATCAGCGCACAGTCTGAATGAAACCAGGACTCTGTTAGCAAGAAAGATTATAGCACTGGCTGAGGGGCATATCAACATCAGTTGTGACATTTACTGTGAAATATGACTGCATACATATGTGAAGCCATCAACCAATTCTATCAACAAATGATATTGGATAATATATGTAAGGTAATCTTATTGTTTCTGACTGGATTTTGGAAGATATTTTTAGATTATAATTATGTGCAAGGCATTCAGGTAGGGGAAATCCAAGAGAGTATGGCCTTAATGGTCCTGCCTTTGAAAATAGCTGTTGAGCAAGAAATGGCTTGTTCTGAACATAGTAAAACAAGTGATTAGTTGAAATATGATATTCATAATTAGCTATTGTGGAACTTGTGATACACAAGGCCAGGGTTTTATTATCATAACAATGGGTATAATAGAAGTGATTAGCATGTTCTATTGTCTTGCAAATTATCCACAGCCATGTTTTTTTGTGATCATGGCCTCTGGGCCTCTGAATTACAAGCCCTTCATGGTATAATGGGGTTGAACCCCTTTCTTTGTCATTAGTGGTGTATCTATCTTGTATACTAACTATTTGTGTGTATGTTTATCTTATCTAGGCTTGCAGAATTAAAGAATTAGGCAAAGTAGATCTAGAACTAGAAATTAAAAATAGATTCAAGAGAGTATATGTTCCAAATTGGTTCAGTGTTGACCTCAAAATAGGGGTAAGTATAGAAATACTGTATTACCTACCTATTCTTTTAGTATAAATCCCTTCCCAAATTGTGTTCAGAGGTTACATACTTTGGTGTAAGCAATTTATGTTTCATGAGAATTATTAAGAAATAGTCAATCTATTTTGGTGTATTCATATTTATATGATTATTTTTAGACAGACATTATCTTCATTTTATCATTTTGATTTACCACATGAAACTACTAAACATAGTCTCTGTAATGTAATAGTGGAGTTTCAGTTTGTTAAATATGGTCATATTCCTGTATGTTTGTTTGTTTGGAATATGTGCCCTTCAATTTAACCACCAGCACATTTGAGCTTTTTTAAAACTTTTTTTTGTTTTTATTAGATGCTATGTATTCATCTGGAAGAAAGTGACTGTTTTGCTGCATGGGTCTCTGCTAAAGATGTAGGACTTGAACCAAATGATGGTGCTGATGCAAAAGGTAATATATAAGTTCATAACAACGCATTAGACACTACTAAGAGTCTATCTTCAGTAGGGTTATTTGATATGTAACTATTGAGCACTAAACGACAAATGAATCAAGTCAAAATTAGATATTATGAAAACCAATCAGGATATTTTACTACAAGTGTTATCAAGTCCCAGTATTGAAACAGTGAATGTAATTTACCAAATCAATCTCTGTATCTTTCAACTTTACTGCTGTTTTTCTGAATTGTATTAATTATATTTTTGAATAATTAATAACAAGATGCAATGTTTAGTGACATATTGGTAACTAAGCAATAGTATTTCTCTGAGTAGTGAGTTTAATTTAGTTAGAAATACAAGGTTGAATAGCATCAACGGTAAATCTGAATTAAAAACTCATCTCATAATTTGGCCATAGACACTTGTCATTTACATAAGCACATGTTCTACTAACAGAGCAACTACAGTAACTGAAATAGGTTCATTGTTTTTTGCCTCCTGAGACAGTCGGCTCAACTTCAGCATAAATAATAGACATACGTTGTACGTATTGGTCCAATAACATCATATCTGTGTACAAATTGTATGTATTGGTCCAATAACAACATATCTGTGTACAAATTGTATGTATTGTTCCAATAACATCATATCTGTGTGCAAATTGTATGTATTGTTCCAATAACATCATATCTGTGTACAAATTGTATGTATTGTTCCAATAACATCATATCTGTGTACAAATTGTACATGTATGTATTGTTCCAATAACATCATATCTGTGTACAAATTGTATGTATTGTTCCAATAACATCATATCTGTGTACAAATTTTGTGTATTGTTCCAATAACATCATATCTGTGTACAAATTGTATGTATTGTTCCAATAACATCATATCTGTGTACAAATTGTATGTATTGTTCCAATAACATCATATCTGTGTACAAATTGTATGTATTGTTCCAATAACATCATATCTGTGTACAAATTGTATGTATTGTTCCAATAACATCATATCTGTGTACAAATTGTATGTATTGTTCCAATAACATCATATCTGTGTACAAATTGTATGTATTGTTCCAATAACATCATATCTGTGTACAAATTGTATGTATTGTTCCAATAACATCATATCTGTGTACAAATTGCTTTGTCTTGATGTTGACAACCATTTGTGCTGTACATATTTAGCAGTGGGAATCTACATCGATGAAAAATGACTCCGATAGTGAGTGAAAATAAAACTACAACCCCTACCCTAATAGAAGAAATTCAAGTTTTACAATTTGTAGGTTTTATATATATGAATTCAGCAGTAAAATACATTATGTAATAAAATGCAACTTTTGTATATTTCAGTTAATTTTGGTGGTCTGTTACTTCAAGCACTGTTAGAGCATTGGCCAAGAACACATGCAATGACACATCTTGATGACATCACTAATCATGGTAGGTAATAAATGCAAATGTGTACCAATCTGAACATGTATTAGTTTTACTTTGAATAAATGAAATGGTAGATTGAGAGTGTTTTTAAAATGCTACAGTCTTCGTTCTGCGTCGTGGTTAATATGGAACCCTTATCAATGTACATTTGTACACAATATCTGTAAAATATGTTGCCCAACAAATGTAGCACTTCAAGGTTGACTCAATAAATAGAGGCCAAAATTTATTAACATTAACATAAGTTGTTACATCATTATTGAGTTACAGAAAAGTGATCAACTATCAGATTTCATCCACTTCAAAATATTATTTTGATAAAAAACTATTTTCTGAAAAAAGTTTCTGAACAATTTCCATGGAAATCCATGTTAAAAGATTATTTCATAAAACAAATAGTATTTATCAGAAATTCATAATAATTAAAGACAGCCATCTTATAATTTTGAGGTATGATGAAACCTTCTCACCGTAAAAATTAATGGTCAAAACCCACTGTTTTTCTTTTCACTGAAAATCTGGGTTTTATGAAGAAAAGCATATTAAATAAAATCATATTGTAAAAGTCAAGGAAATCTGATCATCTGAATTAATGGTAGTTGACCATCTTAAACTCATATTTGTCAATTTTCATTTTCAGTGAATAGTGATGCAATGAGCCCAAATGACATCAACGTTAACCTAGAACCCAGGAATGGAAACGGTTACTTCACAGTTCCAATCCATACGCCTGTGATCTTCTCCGAAGTGGGTGGAAGGACGTTATTCAGGTTATTGTGTCGGGATGCTGGCGGTGAAACAGAAGAAATGTTATTAAATGAGACGGTCCCTCTGTGGGTTGTAGATATCACTGTAGATGTAAGTATACATTGAGTTTGGTGTGGTCTCTCAAAACTTGAAAGTAGAGTGTTGTAAATATAGTCATTGTGGTGGGTCTCACCTGAAAAGAAGTATAAAAAGCAACAAC